ATACAATGCATGATCCTTGATTGCATTATATTTAAATTAAACATCATAAAGGACACCATCTTAGTCGATTTGTATTGCTATTGTAAGGGTCCGGCGAAGCGTCGGAGAAAGAGACCTCCAAGAGACCACTCATGCAATTGGCAGAAGGGGATTTATTGATCCAGCATGCTGGGGCTCCGTGCCCACTCAAGAAAGGAGAGCAGCCCAGAGCTCCGGGCAAGGGTTGAGCAGTGCTTAAGTACACTTTTTGGGGAGGGGGGGGGCTTTGCATACATCAGAACAAATCATCATGAGGCGCGGGAAAATCAAACAACAACTCTTAGACATGATTAGTACATTCATTGGCGGGAACAGGCTGGGCGGGGGTGATTGGTCACTCCTAAGTGGGGTACACATTTAAACTGATTGGTTTTGGGCCCTGGATGCCTACATGCCAGGCTACACAGGGTCCTAAGTTATTAAACAACTAAATGGCCAGTAGGATATTGTCTTAACTGCCTTAGGAATTTCAGGTTCTGTGCGCAGTTCAGAAACTCTACAATACCTAGTCCTTTACTTTTTAACCCAGGCTTTGCAGCTTAGAAACTTTACCCTTTCATTATGACAAAAATACCACAGATTGGGTAATTTATAAAGAAATTCATTTTCTCACAGTTCTAGAGACAAGAGAAGTTCAGGACTAAGGTGCTCTCTGGTTCACTATCTGGTGAGGCCAGTTCCTCATAGATGGCTTTATCTTGGTGTCTTTACGGGGCAGAAGGGAGAGAAAAAGTAAACTTGCCCCCTCAAGATCAATTGTCAGGCATTACTCTGTTTATGATAGCCCTCGAGGCCTAGCAGCCTCTTAAGGGCCCCACTTATTAATACCACCACAATCAAGATTAAGTTTCTAGGGACTGGGGTTATGGCTCAGGGGTAGAGCACTCACCTCCCATGTGTGAGACCCTGGGTTCGATCCTCAGCACCAAATAAAAAAATAAATAAGTGAAATAAAAGTAGTGTCCAACTACAACTAAAAATTAAAAAAAAAAGATTAAGTTTCTATGCAAATTTTGAAGGGACATATTGAAGCCACAGCAGACACTAAAGACACAACTGAGGAAACTTTTTAAAAAGAATTTAACCTTTATTTATTTGTTGTTGTTTGTTTTTTAATGTGATGCTGAGGATCGAACCCAGGACCTCCACCATCCTAGGCAAGCCCTGACGATTGAGGAAATTTGACTATTAACTTTATGTTAAATAATAGTGGGGCTGCACTTGTAGCTCAATAGTAAAGTGCTGGCCTAGCATGTGGAGGCACTGGGTTCCATCTTCAGCACCACATAAAAATAAATAAAGGTATCCCATCTATAACTAAAAAATTAAAATAATAAATAATAATAGCATTATATGAATATTTAATCCCTTGAGGGGGGTCATGGAATTGTGGTTATGTGGGAAAGGAGATGCAGAGTGAGGGTCAGTGTACATAGCAGTGGATTTTTAAAATTTTTTTATCTAACTTAATGACTCAACAAAATAAAACATTTTATTTTATTAATGTTATTATTCATACATATATTTAAAGAAACACAAAGCAACTCTGGTAAAAGGTTATCAGTTCATCTAGGAAAAGGGTAGGTACATGGGCTCCTATTGCACAAGAAACCTTTCCTGAAAGTCTAAATTTTTTGAAAGGCTAGGGAAAAGATATGGCACTGTTTAATCTAAATTTCTTGAGCGTGATTGGGTATTAAGGTTATGAAGAGAATATTCTTGTCCTCAGGAGATACAAATTGGAGTACTTAAGAGTGAAATATTATGCTATGGGCAACTTATTTTCAAATGGTACAGTCAGAAGAGTATGTAAGTATATTTTAAAAGTATACATCAAGTACTTAAAAATGTAAATATACGTTTAAATATATGCATAAATCACGGGTCTAGTGAAAGGTGGAAGTATCACTTTGTACTATTCATCTTCTCTGTGCGAATTGTTACAAAATGAGAAGATTTGGCAGTATATAAACATATAATATTAGGGATACTAAATAAAAATTAAGTGTACCCCTTGGGAAAAGCTCATCTTCTTACATATCTACTGAAAACTTGATGCGGCTCAGAGGTTGGGAGCCCCCGGTACCCCGGCCCCTCCAAAGGAGAAGCGCGCGACCC